CCTGCGCATTGGATTTTTTAGGTGAGACACAGTGTGCGCGGAACTGAGCCCACCCTTTAATCCTGAGGTTCATCTGCCGGGGCCAAGCACTCTTGGACGGTGGCAGCGAGGTCCTCAGGACGTAGATGGATTGCCTTACAGGGCTAGCGAGCTCCATCTGCCCGGGGAGTGTCCTAACCGGGAATCGAACCCAGATCTCAGCGTTGACAACGCTGTGGTTTAGCCACTGCACCACCAGGGACACTCTAACAACTGAAATAGCTCTCTGTTGTTTTATCTGTTTCATTTGTTTTGTGTGCTGTCCTGTTCTATGTTTTAAATTAGAGTCAAGTAAAGATCTTTTATGGGAAGGGATTCTGGTAACTCTGAGCAAGTAGCTGAGAACTTACCATGCCGTTTGAAACCTAGAATTAAAATTTGTCCTGTTTGCAACTGCTCATTATATGTGAGTGCTCTATGCAACCATTGTCATAAATACACTTTAGGACCCAGGGGAATGCAAGAGATAGGGTTAAATCGAACTCTGAATTTATATTGTATTGGGTGTGGGGCTAATCAAAGCTTGGAAGAAACCCAGTGGGCAAGATATCAATCCTACAACTAATAGGTTTGCGTTTCTAAAAGTTTCCTCCAATCTGCTATGAAGTGTGTATTTTGTGGTCTACATCAATATCTTGTGACTTTGTGTGGTAATGCAATTAAACCGTGTAAAACAGATAGATGAGAGAAGGAAACTTTTGGGAAAGCTTGGAGTGTGTCAGTGTATGTATGAGACACAGTTTTTACTGCAAGGCGAGTGAGGAGTCCCAGTCTGTGGTTCTGTGCTGGGCACAGGCCAGAAACGGACAAAGTGATCCATCAGTGAATATATGAAGTGTTGGGATAGATTGAGGAATATTTCGAAACGAGAACAGGAGTTTTATAAGAAATCCACTTGGCTAGAGGATGTTGAGTGGAGCAGAGCACAGTTAGAATTGGAACAAGAAATTCAGCGGTAAGAAGTGCTTGAAGAATTATGAGGAACATTGCATAAATTTATAGATCATTTAGAACAAAAGGGATATGATCTATTAGTAATTGAGAACTTTAGTAATTGGGACCCTGTGTGGGCTCATGATCCTTATATAGGGTGGTATATTACTGATGCTGGGAGGGTTCAATAATTTGATTTAATCTGATGAATGGGTGTTGTAGCTAAGGTATGTTATCCCCCCAAAGAGACTGAGAAATAAGGCTAAATAGAGGTCTTGGACTGTGGTGTGTGCTCTGAGAAAAGCACGGGGCCACCACTAGCAACTGATACATTGTAGATAGATATACCAGACTCCTTAGAGAGATGGGGAACGGGCTGAGCAAAGAGATAAATACCAAAACACCTCTGGGATGCATTGTAAAACACTGGAAAGAATTAGGCAGAATTCCTGGAGGGAATCTGAACAAAAAGACGTTCTTAAAATACTGTCAAAACTGGTGGCCTCTGTACACATTAGGTGATGGTGAAAATGGCTACCCGAAGGAAGTCTTAATTACACTGCAATTTTACAGCTCATGCTGTTTCTCCGTAGAGAGCAAAGGTGGGATGAAGTAATGTAAGCAGATATGGTTTTCACCTTAAGAAATAAACCTGAATGGCAGAAAAACTGCGGAATATCCCACCACAAGAGCCTTTTGTTTTGGCATTGGAAGACAGTCAGAAAAATCATAAGCCTAAGAAACGCTGCTGTGATCCTTGAAGTGTTGGATAGCAGTGTCTTAAGTTGGGAAAAAGAGATAGTGATGAGGAGAGCATTATAGACCCTCAGGAACTCATGCCAACCCTCGGTAGGGTAAATTGGCGACCAGAGCCCTTTAGGCAGAGACCTGACAGCCCGCAGGAATCGGGATTAGATGCGACAGACACTGAAAGTATAGCAGAGAGTATGGAAGACCCCCAAGAGGGGATGAATAGTACACATCGGGGTTGGACCATGGGACAGAAAGCTAGAGGCAAGACTGGGGGTAGAACAAAAGGTAGAGCTGAGAGCAACCACACTGTTGCCCCTTTAAGATCAGTAATAACAGCTGCAGGCACTCAAGCAAAAGTGAAAGTGTGGTTTGGGGCAAGTGATTTGAACAGCTGGAGGGAGGAAGCCAAACTGTGTAGGGAAAATCCTGAAAAGATGGGTAAGAGATTTAAATTAATTGGGAAAAATCAGGACATAGATTGGTCAGATAACTGTAGGGGTTAGAAGCTGATAACTCACTTGTCTACCATTGGTTCCTGTGTTGCCATAGTTATTATATTGTCTCTTTGTATTGGCTGTCTAAATGTCCAATCACCACTTCTCCCCACCAGCCTATATAAGCTGGGGGACTTTTGAATAAAGCTGTCTTTGCTGCTGGCCTCCCTGCGTGCTGCGTGTCCTCTCTCTCCTGGCCGAGGGGCCTCCGCTGCCTGCCCCTGCCACGAGGGGCGGGCAGCGGGGGGGTGGGGTGATCTCAGCCCTGGAAACCTTCACAGAGCGGCTGGGAGAGACCCTCCAGAAGCCACACAAACTGCAACAATTGGTGGAGAAATGTGGGCAAGAACTCCGCCCACGAAATCGGTAAACAATTTTAAAATATACTTTTGGATATAAACAGTGGGAACGATAACAGCTCGCTCCCCCTCCCCCATTGACTAATCCTGTCTCTGCGTTGCCGGGGAGGAGAGACGTTTTTGAACAGCGGTGCCGCCTCTGCTGGAGGCCCGGCAATTGAACTGTGCCACGCCGACCCTGTAACCCGGGGGGGCGGAGGGCCGAGGGAACTGCAGGCAAGCCGTGTAGCAGCGACATAGCAACATAAACTGCACGCGAAGCACGTGTCCCCAGCACGGAAAAGCAGCATTTTCAAAGTGCCCGCCAGGTCTCTGCCACCGCTGGATGGAGAAAGCCGAGCGAATACCGCGGAAACAGCATCAGCCGCCGCCGCTGGAATGGCCCCCTCCCCCGCCCTGACGCAGGGACTTCTCTTCGCCCCCAACCACAGGAAATGCAGGGAGCGCTGCCACGGCCGCTGCTGCTGCCGCGCCCCTGCCACAGGAAGAGGAGGCGGAGGCTGCCGCTCCCGGAATGTGAGCTGGGCTGTGCTGTCTGCTCCGTGCCCAGAACCGCGTCCCATCCGCCGTTTCTCGGCCCCCGCGCCGCCGCCCGGATCGCTCGACTCCGCTCTGCACACTGAGAGACCACCGAGAGACCGCCCACCTCCACCCATGCGGCCGATCCATCCCCTGCTGCCTGCCCACCCCCCAACCCTGTTCCCTCAACTTTTTTTTCTTTCTTTACGGTCTAGCTTCAAAGTACCCAAACCGGTTTTTCTCCTTTACTGTTCATATGCTAATTTCCAGGTTGCTTCACTTTTCTAGCTTCAAAGTACCCAAACTGGTTTTTCTCCTTTACTGTTCATATGTTAATTTCCAGGTTGCTTCAGTTTTACAGATTTTTCCCGGGTACACTGTGATCAACAAAACAAGGAAACCCAACAACAACCCCCCCCCAAACTAATGCATTTTGTTCTTTATTATTAATTTAGAAATCTCCACGTACAGAATGCACTCAAAAGTAAATGTGAGGAGTAGAGATCTGGTAAAAGTAAACATCTCTCTGCCTGTTCCCCTCCCACCTGGCTGTGGCGCCGTGACTCTCTCTCTGGGGGAGCATGAGCAGCCGCGGGGTAAGGGCGAGGGCGGGGAGGGAGCATTCTTTCCCCCCCGGAGCTAGGGGCAACTGGCTTCTCGCCAAAGGAAAGCCTCTTGTCCCGGGGACCCCCGTTTCCTATCCACTCAGCGTTCGTCAAATGGGCCAGATGTGGCATGGCTGACCTTACTTCTTCTGTGAAGGGGGGGGGCAGCGGCAGCACAGAAACGGTCTGTGTCGGGCGAACGCCCAGAGCTGGCGTCCCAATGCAAGGTGGGAGCAGCTCTGGCATATTCCTATATCCCTCTAACCCTGAAAACCACCCCCCCCCTGGAGCAGGGGGTAAAGGAAAACCTCCCGTTCTGGGGATCCCCATTTCCTGTCCAATCAGCGTTCGTCAAATGGGCCGGATAAGGCATTTGCTAACCTTACTTCTTCTGTGAAGGGGGGGGGCAGGGGCAGCGCAGAAAACGTTCTGTGTCGGGCGAACGCCCAGAGCTGGCATCCCAGTGCAAGGTGGGAGCAGCTCTGGCATATTCCTGTATTCCTCTAACCCTGAAAATAGATAGCTTTGGTTCCCAAGATGAAAGATTCTTGGGTCAACTCACATACCCCATAGCCTTAAGCTATATCAGGGGTATGCGCGGTGGAACGGTCTCCTGAAACAACCAAGGATTAGCCTAGTTGATCAGGAGGTGTCAGTAGCCGGGGTTGGAAGCCACCCTAACTGGCTCGGGTAGAGTCACCCAAACAGACTCAAGTAAAATTTAATTTAGAGATTTCTCTTTTTATAATAGGAACATAAGTCTTAAAATTACCTGTTTTCTCAAGCTCAATACAAATTGTCTCACTTGCCTTCTCATTTTCATATCAATCTTTGTATTAACCTTTACCCCAGGTTTGACTAGAAAATCTTCATTGTTAAATCCCATTAAAATTACAAATGTTATCTTTATTATAAATAAGAAAGGGTGAATTGTAGGGGTTAGAAGCTGATAACTCACTTGTATATCATTGGTTCCTGTGTTGCCATAGTTATTATATTGTCTCTTTGTATTGGCTATCTAAATGTCCAATCACCACTTCTCCCCACCAGCCTTTATAAGCTGGGGGACATTTGAATAAAGCTCTCTTTGCTGCTGACCTCCCTGCGTGCTGCGTGTCCTCTCTCTCCTGGCCGAGGGGCCTCCGCTGCCTGCCCCTGCCACGAGGGGCGGGCAGCGGGGGGGTGGGGATGCATTCAGCCCTAGAAACCTTCACAGAGCGGCTGGGAGAGACCCTCCAGAAGCCATACAAACCGCAACAGTCTAGAGCAGCATTCTCTTAGCACTTCTTCCCAGTTTGTCTCATATATTTCCCAATTCACAGGCACTAGTAACTCCCACCCACAGAATATTTTACAAATTTCTGTTTGATCTAATAGTCTCTGTGGACGCTCAGATGCATTGACTCTACATTTCATACAATGAGATTGTCTATTAATTGAGGAACAATACCACCTTCTGTTACATATCACACATTTGCAAATTACCCAGCTAAAATGTCCAGTGTCCGGGTGTTTAATGCACGGTATTCCAAAGGGGTTGGAAAATTCAGGTATTTCAGTTTCCAGTTCACAGCAAAAGGGAAATGTGATCGAGGTTCCTACCAATTTGTACATTCCGGACCCTCCGGTCTGGTCAGGTATTCTTTCTTGTCTGTAGGATACGTAGTGTACTTTTTGTAATATCTGCTCAGGAGGTATCTGAAAAAACTGATACAGGCTAGGTCTTACTTCTTCTCCTGGGGGATTCATTCACTGACTTTGGCCTTCCTTAATTTCAGTCGGAGGTCTCCAGGTGAGGAAGCCACCGTCCACTCAGGAGCACTTACTGGTCCCTTGACCCAGGATGCATGGGTCCATCTTTTCTCAGCTGTCCGGACTGCAGTATCTGTAGTAAGAAGAACAACAAATGGCTCTTCCCAACTAGGGGTTAATGAGGATTCTTTCCAATTTTTAATTAGTACCCAATCTCCAGGTTGGAACCTATGTACTGACATGTCTAATGGAGGCCTCTGAGCCACCAGTCCTCTCTTTTTCAGCTCCTGTCTCCTTTTCAATAATTCAATAATATATTCTCTTAGAAAAAAGTCTTCCACCTTAGGATTTTCTATTGGAATTCAAAAATCATATGGCATTCCATATATCATTTCAAAAGGAGAAATTCCTGTGTCAGTTCAGGGTTGGGTTCGGATATACAAAAGGGCCAAGGGTAAACATTTTACCCAATTCATTTTAGTTTCCATCATTAATTTCGTCAAGTGTTTCTTTATTTCTCCATTCATTCTCTCTACTTCACCAGAGCTTTGCGGATGCCAGGGAGTATGATACTCCCATTTGGTTCCGAAAAGTTCGGTTACTCCTTTAATTATTTTAGAAGGAAAATGTGGTCCTCAGTCTGAATCCACCACCACTACAGCTCCATATCTCGGGATAATTTCTTCTAATAAAACTTTAATTACAGTTTTAGCTGTACATCGTGCCACAGGAAAAGCTTCTACAAAATGGGTGAGATGGTCTACCAAAACCAGTAAATAGTGATATCTCCCCACTTTAGGTAATTCAGTAAAATCGGCCTGTACTTTCTCAAAGGGCCTTTTAGCTACTTCTCGCCCCCCTTGTATTCTCTCCCTCAGTTGTCTTTTATTCACTTTCTGACATATTAAACATCCCTCCAGAATTTTCTTGGCTATCCCGTATACTCCTACACAGACATATTTATTTTCAAATTGATCCACTAGAGTTTGAGTTCCCCAATGTGTTTGTTCATGCAACCTGGTCATAATCTTTTGGGCCAAGCCTTTTGGAAGTACCTCCCATCCATCTGATAATCTCCACTTGTTATCCTCTTCCTTTGCTCCTATTTGTCGCAATTTTTCTTTTTCCTGATTACTGAAACTCTTTGAAAGTTCTGGACTTTCACTTTCTGAGGCTGTGATTATTAGTAAAGCTGCTCGCTTTGCTTCCTCATCTGCTATATTATTCCCTCTAGTTTTAGGCTGTAATCCTTTTTGATGTCCCTTCACATGTACTAAAGCCACCCTCTTTGGTTTTCTTAGTGCCTTTAGAGTTTCTTTTAATAATGTCTCATGGATCAAACCTTTTCCATGTGTATTAATTAATCCTCTTTCCTCCCAAATTTTCCCGAAAGTATGCACTACTCCAAAGGCGTATTTAGAATCTGTAAATATTGTTCCCACCTTTCCTTTTAATTGTTCTAAGGCTCTTATCAAAGCATACAACTCGCAAGCCTGTGCTGACCATGTTTTATCAAGGGGTCCAGATTCCCTTGTCTGAAATGTAATACCATCTACTATGGCATATCCTGATCTTCGACATCCATTAACTACTCTTGATGAGCCATCAATGTATAATTTTTCTCCTTCTTCTAATTCTTCTTCTTCCAAATCTTTCCTAATCTTGGTCTGAACGTTTATCATGTGTAGACAATTATGTATTGGATTCCCTTCAGGTTCTCCGTATAGGAATTGGGCTGGGTTTTGTACATTTGTTATTTCTAATTTTAATCTAGGTGATTGTAGTAAAATGCCTTCATATTTTAATAGTCGACTATCTGTCAACCATTTATCTGCTCTCTGTTGTAATACTCCCCTGATATTATGAGGGGTATAAACCTCTAATTCCCCTCCAAAAGTTACTTTCTCAGCTTCTTCTTTAAGCAAGGCAATAGCAACAATAGCTTGTAAACAGGTAGGCCATCCTCTGCTTACAGGATCTAGTAACTTAGAGTAGTATCCTACCGGCTTCTTTTGTCCAGCCCATACCTGAGTTAGGACTCCATATGCCGTTCCATTTTCAGTGTTTACAAATAAATAAAACAGTTTATGTATGTCTGGTAGACTTAGCACAGGGGCATTAACTAGATCTTCCTTTAGATTATCTAGTCTTTTTCCATCTTCATTATTCCATTTGATTAAGCCTTCCTTTGTTAGTTTCTCATATAAGAATTTTAATTTACTACTATAATTTTCAATCCACTGCCGGCAGTATCCCAATAATCCCAAAAGCTGTCTTATCTGTCTTTTATTTTTTGGTGCTTGTAGGGACAGAATTCCATTCACTCTATCAGGATCCAACCTTTTGCATCCTCTACTTAGCCAATGCCCTAAATATTTGACTTCTTCCTCTGTAAATTGTAATTTAGACTTTGACACCTTTAGTCCTTTTAGACTTAAAAAATTCAATAGTCTGATGCTCTCATTCCTAACTGTCTCCGAATTGTCACCGGCAACTAATAAATCGTCCACATACTGAATTAAAACAGTGCCAGGATGAGGTTCAAAAGATTCTAACAGCTGTTCCAATGCTTGCCCGAATAAATTAGGGGATTCTACGAACCCCTGGGGTAAGACCGTCCACCTTAATTGCTGCTTTCTATGAGTTTCTGGATCTTCCCACTCAAATGCAAAATAATCCCTACTCTCCTCCTTAAGAGGACAAATCCAGAAAGCATCGTTCAGATCGATCACACTATACCATTTATGATCAGGAGAGAGTTGATTTAACAGGGTATAGGGATTGCCAACCACTGGAAATCGAGCTACAGTCCTTTTATTTATCTCTCTTAGATCCTGTACTAATCGATAGGATCCATCAGGCTTTTTTACTGGTAAAATAGGAGTATTATGGGGTGACATACATGGTTCCAGTAATCCTTGAGCTAGGAGTCTTTCTATAGTGGGTTTGAGTCCAATCCTCCCTTCCTGAGAAATAGGGTACTGTTTTACCCTAACTGGATTTTCTGGATTCTGAATAGTGATCTCAAGTGGTTTTATATGTAATTTCCCAACAGAGTCAGGAGTATACCATATTTCAGGATTTATCTTTTTTTCGTCCTCCGCTGTGAGAGGGTAGATTCTGACCTGTAATTTTTGTTCTTTTGTCTCCAAGCCTATTCCTCATTCTATCATTAAATCTCTCCCTAGTAAATTATAGTCTGCCTTGGGGACTAATAAAAATGTTCCTAATGTGTATTTATTATGAGTTTCAATTTCTACATTTTTTATTAGGGGAACTTTAAATGGTTCCCCCTTTGCCCCTACCACTTGGACAGTGTCTGTAGAGGTCCTACAACCCCAGGGGATTGTCTGTACAGTTGATCTTTCTGCCCCCGAGTCCACTAGGAACTCGAGTTCTTGTTGCTGGGGACCTAACTTAAGTTTTATCAAGGGCTCTGTGATTTTTCGTGTCCCCAGCAGATAGAGCCCCTGACCCCCCTATTCCTCTTTAAACACTTGTTCGTCCACGGCAGATCTGAGAAACTTCATAAAAACCTGATAGACCTTCATTCTTATAGCTTAACCAGAGAGAAGAACTGGGAGAGAGATACTTCTTATACTTGCAGTAGCTTTTGCCTGCTCAGAGGAAATAAAAAATAGCCTCTGAAATTTAAAACTGGACTATATCTCCCCTTTTTGTGTTTGATCCTGTTTTTGTATGCACACAACTGTCCTGGTTCCTGCCACAAAAGTTTTAGTTTTCTTCCATTAGCCATGAAGTGGTGTGGTTGAGGAGACATGACCATAGCCTACTGTGCTGGTTTAAAGGTAAGCTGGCAGGAGAAATTAATCCACCTCAAAAGAGATTATAAATCAGAATTACAATTTAATAAAAATAATACAATAAATACAATTATACAGATGAAAAATTGGTTTAACCCACAAAAACTCAGATGTATAACCCAGCATCCTGGGGCACGAACAGAATGGTATTAGTTGGCCCCTGTGCTGAGCCCCACGTGGGCCCCCTGAGTCCAAAAGTAAAAGGAGAGGAAGAACCTGGTGGTACGAGTGATGGTTGCAGTCCAGTTGAGAGTGGTGGTCACAGTCCTGTCGAGGTTCTGGTCCTCCTCTGGATCCCATGGTAGCAGAAGTCCCAAGACCCCAAGATTATCTACACTCAGGTTCAGGCAGGAATGCCCAGCACCTCCCCCAGGGTGGGGAGTTCCACAGTGGGTGACTGTGAGTTGTGGGTGTGAGGACAGGAACATCATCCTATCTCACAGGCCTCTTAACACCCAGCTTACAGCCTGAGGGGTCAGGTGTGCTCTGGGCAGCTGCTGCAAATGGTCTATTGTTAAGAGTTTCTAGGAAATGACACAGAGGGTGTAGAATACACAGTTTGGGTTACGCTCACAGAGTGATGAACCGGTCCTGGCTGCTCTAACTAGGACACACCATTTTTACAGCGTCCCAGAGTTGTTCAGTCCAATTGGATTTCTGAGGTTTTAGAAATCGTTTCAGCAAGCCATTTGTTCTTTCCCCTATGCCATTTGCTTGTGGATAATAGGGTGTGTGACATATCTGCTGGATTCCTTCTTCCTTGGCCCCCTCCTGGATGATGGCAGCTGTGAAGTGTCACCCATTCTCTGACTGGATAGATACAGGTTTTGGAAAAAAACCTGAACCCCAGTTTAAGAGCTTCTGGAGTGCTTGTAATGGTTGCCCGAGGAAAAGCTTCTGCTTGCACTAATCCTGACCTAATTTCCACTTCTACTAACACATACTGTTTTCCCTCAGATTTTCTAGAGAGCCCAGTATAGTCTGTCTGCCATGTGTCCCACAGCCCTTTTCTGTCTCTTCTATGTAAGGGGGTTGTTCTAAAGTCAGAGGTTTCAGCTTCATTGTTAAATCCCCTCCAAACTGCTCCTGATTCTCCTGTCTGTGCCCTGCCTTCTCCTTCAAGGACTATTTTGTCTCCTGGATGTCCCTGTAAAGCCACAGCACGATATTTCCAAACTTCCTCTTCCCACTCAGCTGAGGTATCAGGAAACCCCCCATTCTGCAATTGCTCTGAGTGTGGGGGTGCCCCTTGAACCACAGAAGGGAGAGAATCAGCTGTGCTATTTAAGTTGCCTCATCTTGTCAGGGAAGATTTTTGAGAGCTCTCTCTGTTATCTAAAAGATGGTGCAATAATGTTCAATTTGAGCCTTCCATTTCCCAACAGGAGCTGGCTGGGCCGCCCTGTCAGGGGGTGGGGTTCCTGTCAGAACAGGCTTGATAGCCTTAAAGGGTCCCCTTAAAATCAGAGACTGATGAGGGACAATTTTATCTGCTTCCCAAAAAGCAGTGTTCTCCATAAATAAGCTCTTTTCCCAGGGAGAATATAATTTTTGGGCATCTTTGACACTGCATGAATAAAACCCTACAGGCCTGGTGGGACCATCAGGGCCTCTCTGCCTCAGTGTATGGACAGTCCAGAGCTTGCAAATCCCCCTCAATTTGTGCTAGATTGGTGGGGTGTGTGGGGCCTGGTGAGTGGTGTGTGTTGGCCTCAAAAATCAGGAAATGTGGGGCTTCTTCGTGAAGGGGGGTCCAATCCCACCTTGCTTTTTTCCACAACAAATCATGGAAGGGCCGTGCAGGATGTGTTGTCTCCAGAAGATCAGCAGGCCTAGAGTATGCTGCAAATCCTTTTTATTCTCTGGTGTTTGAAGTTGGTCTAGGCAGGTGAGTGTGTCTGGGGGGGATACAAACCATTCCTCCCTTCCACCAAATTCCCAGGAATTTTACTTCTTGTGAAGGAGGTTGTACCTCTTCAGGAGGGACATGTAAGTCCAGGGACTCCAGATGCCTGATAATGTCTGTTTGGGTTGTTTGCACAGGGGCAATTTATTTCCTGCTACCAAAATGTCATCAATTGTATATATTGGTACACTTTTACTGCTGGTGCAGGAGGAATGAGTGACAGTCCCTGTGCCAGTGCATGATGTGCTAGAGTGGGTGAGTGTTTAAATCCTTGTAGGAGACAGGTAAAAGTGCATTGCTGACCCTGTGAAAGCAAAGCGCTCTTGATCCTGTTCCTGCAGGGGAACCATAAAAACCACTTCTTTGATGTCAATAGGGGACATAATTTGATGGGCTTGTTCTTGGCTGGTAGCACTGAACTCGGTTGTATTTGGGACTGCTGCATTGAGGGCCCCTCTTCACGTTCAGATTTCGGGAGTCTCCCATCAGCCTCCAGTGACCATTTGGCTACAGACAGGCCCACGGGTGAATTGTAAGGAGAATGTGTTGCCATCACTATTCCTCTTTTAAATCTCCAATAACTGGAACGATTCCTTCTCTGGCTCCCAAGGGTAAGGGGTAAGGTTTGACATTGGTCACTGGGCAGGGAGGAAGAGCAGAGGCAGGACTTGTTAAACACAGATGTGGCATTTGTTTTCCAAAAGCCCATGTGTTTCCTTCCTCATTAGTCCAAGCCCTTCATTTCAGGAGGTCCAGCCCCAGTAAATTAGCAGGAAGTTCACCCAAAATAATCAGGGTTTCACCTGCTTTCTCCTTCCCTGGTAAGCAGCATCTCACCTTTGCTGTTCTCTGTGTGTTTCCAAAAGCACCCACAACAAATATGCCTTTACATGAGGGAGTGATTCCATGTGCAGATGCATCTTCAATTTTCAGGGCAGACACTTGAGTGCCAGGATCTACTAGAAAAGTGACAGGGATTTTGTGGGGACCAATAGGACAAGTTATTAACAAGTCTCCTTTGGAATTTTTGGTGACCTGCCCAATGTCAAACCACCCTTGGCCCCCCGGCTCAGCTCCTGGGGACGAAGAGAGGAGTTTCCCATCCCCTCCCCTTGCTGTGAGCCCTCCAGAGGAGGGGCTGGAGCAGGGACAGCTTTCAGGGATCCCTCCTTTGCTGGCCACTCTTGAATTAATATCTCTAATTTCTCCATGGGTTGACCATCTATTAGGGATTTGAGGATTCATTTTTTCAAGCCCGCAATCCACAGGGGATTCCTTTTTTCTGTGTCCTGCAGTGCTGGTGGGTCCTCCTTGTCCAGGGGAGAACATTTCCTTTTGGAGTCTTGCCGGAGGAATACTTGTTTTGCATTCAGTGCCCAATTGATTTAGAATCAGTAGTAACTGAAGGTACTGGACCACATTTTCTTCCCTAATTAATTAATTCCTGTGCCACCTCCCCCAGGCCCAAATCTTATTTTCTCCACAGTAATGACCGGGTGTTAAAGCTACTTTTAAGGTGGCTGCAGTTCTTTCTCCTTTGGTGAGGCTTCTATTTGTCCTTTGAGCTGAATGCCAGTGGGTTTCACAGCCCCAGGGAGACCTCTGAGAAGGGCAATCATTCTTTCAGGATCTGCAGGCAGCATCATAGAGGATTCAAGTCTTGGTCTTAATCCTCTATCCTGCATCATTTGTAAACAAGCAGCTTTTTGCGCACTTTCCCCAGTCTGATGAACATTTCCCACTGTAGCCAGGGAATCTCCCCTTTGCAGGGGGTTGAGTCCCCGTGCCCAATAGGCTGCTCTCTGGAGAAGGGACCAGGGCCCACGAGAATCTCCTGTGGTCAGGAAAACTCTGGCTCCACAGAACCCTTCAGCCTCTTTTTCTGATAACAAAATTTGGTCAGCCCCAGTAAGACAGACTCTCCAAACATCCTCAGTCTCAGATTCTTTAGGAGTTCTGCTATATTCCTTTTTTAATGTAGGTAATTCAGTCTCTGTCTAAGGAACTTCTTTTGTAGTTATTTGAGGTGTATCATCATCCAAGCCCTCCTCTGTGTATTCTGTTTTAATTAGGGGACGGAGCGACACCGACAGCTTTTCCACTTGGTCACGCAAAGGCTTTAAGTCAGAGAGGGGGGGGATGTTTCTTTAGGTGACTCCAGCTCTGACTCCTTTCTCCCTTCTCTCATTAATCTTGCACACAACTCCTTTCGAAGCACACGGGCGGTAGCCCTTCCATTCCTTATCTGTCTCTGGAGGACACTGACAGCAGCCTCCAGCGGCATCGACAGAGACTGAACCAAACCTTGCAGTGAAGAATCAACTTCCGTGAAAATTTTCAGCTGCTGCAACTACAACTCCCGTGGTGCCCCACGCGGGGTGGGGGCGGGGCGGGTGTGATGGCCATGCGCTGATTGGCTGCGGTGGGGAGGGGGTCTTTCGAGGCGGTGCGCGCGCAGAGCGCAGTGCTGGCCGCGGGGAAGCCGAAGGAGATGGCGGCGGCTGCGCTGTAAGAGCTGGCGGGGGCTGCGGCGAGAGCGGGGCTGTTGGTGCAAAGGCCGGAGAGCTCGGGAGGGTTTAGCGGGGGGTTCTGGGGTTCCCGAAGGGCAGAACGCGGTGATTGAAACCGTTTCGAGGGGGCGGGGGAGGGGGGGGGGCTGTCCCAGCGCCATGGCTGCACTGCGCAGGCGCGCTGGCGGAATTTTATGAGGGAACTGCAACTCCCATGAGGCTCCGCGCGGCACCGCTCTTCCTGCTGCTGTCACAGCGCCCCCTGCCGGCTGGGCGAACCGAACGCAGGAAAGGAGGATCCCAATGCCCCCCCCGAGCCCCAGAGACTCCCAAAACTGAGCACACAGAGACCCCACAGGGAGAGGGGCCTGGGGTCTCCTAAATCCCAGCAATGGGGTTCAGGGGTTCCCCCAGCCCCCAAAGTCGGGGGGGGGGGTGGGGAAATGTACCACATCTGGGTAAGGGGGGCCCAGTTCCCCCAGTATAGCCCAGTGACCTCCCACTGTCCCCCTCCCTGAGCACCCAGTAATCCCATTATGGTCCAGTAACCTCCCAGTGTTCCCCCATATGTCCTGGTAATCCCTCAGTAACTCCCCAGTCTCTCCCAGTGCCCCCTGGTTCCCCCCAGTGTGTCCCAATATTTCCCAGGAATCACCCAGTGCCCCCCAAAGGCCCCCAGCTGTCCCCAACATGTTCCCAGATGCCCTTGGCCTTTCTGTGAGTGAGGTGAGGGGAGGCATTTTTGGGGTCAGAGTGTCCAGGGGGGGCTCCTGGGGGGAGATGGAGAGTTGGGGACATCCAAGATGGGGTTTGGGGAGAGTGAAATTGGGGGTGTCAGGGGGGACATTGAAGCCATGGGGAGGCCCTGGGGACATTGGAGACACCGGGAGATCTGGGGGTGTCAGGGAGAGAACTGGGGACACCAAGAGGGTCTTGGGGACACCAAGGGGTCTCAGAACTCACCTGCTCGTGGTGCTGCTCCTCCTCTTCCTCTCCCCAGGCTCCAGTAACACCCCCAAATGACCCCTAACTCCCCTTTTCCCTTTAATCCCCTCCCCCCACAGATCCCTTTGACCCCAAGTGCCCCAAGATCTCTTTTAACTCCACCAAATGCACCCAAAGCCCCCCAAAACCCTCCAAATCCCCATCCAATCCCCCCAAAAGAGGGATCACCTGGCACCCTGGGACAGAAGCACAGTGGTCTGTACTGGGGGCACTGGGCTGTACTGGGAGGATACTGGGAGAGGCTCAGGTGTCCCACAACAACGTGGCCCAGCTCCAGGAGAGATCCGGGGAGCAGTGGGGAGGTCCTAGTCTGTCCTGGTTTGTACCCCTAATCCCCAAAGCCCCTCCTCAGCTCCCCAAGGACCCTCCTGGACCCCAAAGCCCCCCAGGCCCCTGACTTCATCCTGCTGCCCCTTGAGCATCTCCAGCTCCTGCAGAACCAGCATTTCATGACCAAATTTGCAGCTGACACCAAGCTGGGGGGTGTGTTGATGTGCTGGAAGGCAGGAGGGCTCTGCAGAGGGACCTGGACAAGCTGGATCCATGGTCTGATTCCAGTGGGATGAGGTTCCACCAGGCCAAGTGCAGGTCCTGCCCTTTGGCCACAACAACCCCGGCAGCCCCAGGGCTGGGGACAGAGTGGCTGGAGAGCAGCCAGGCAGGAAGGGAGCTGGGAGTGTGGAGGGACAGGAAGCTGAACATGAGCCAGAGTGTGCCCAGGGGGCCAAGAGGGCCACTGGATCCTGGCCTGGCTCAGGAAGAGTGTGGCAGCAGGAGCAGGGAAGGGATTCTTGGCCTGCACTCAGCGCTGGGGAGGCCACCCCCGGAGTGCTGTGTCACTCTCTACAACTCCCTGACAGGAGGTTGTAGCCAGGTTGGGGCTTGGTCTCTTCTCCCAGGAATCAGGAGTAGGACAAGGGGGCTCGATCTTCAGCTGTGCCAGGGGAGGTTTGGGTTGGATATTAGGAAGAAAGTTTTTACAGAGAGAGTGCTCAGCCATTGGAATGGGCTGCCCAGGGAGGGGGTGGATTCTCCATCCCTAGAGGTGTTTTAAGGTGAGACTGGATGTGGTATCAGTGCCATGGTCTGGGAACCACAGCAGGGTTGGATCAAAGGTTGGACTTGATGATCTCAGAGGTCTTTTCCAACCAGTCTGATTCTCTGATTCTGTGATTCCTGTTCCTATGGCAACACATGCTTGAGGCTCTGTACACAGGGTGATAGATGTGTCTATACGCATATATATACAAGGTGAGTCTGTAAAGATGTGGTGTTAGAAAAGGAGGATACCTTCTGGGATGGTTCTAGAAGGAGAAAGAAGCCCATAGCCCACTCCAGGCAGGCACCTCTCAGCGTCCACATCATCTCCCCTCTCTGCAGGTTCATGTTCTTGGGAGCAGAACCTGTAGTGACCCTGAGAAATGGCCTGGAGGTGACCCCAGAGCTGGCCCTGAAGTGACCCTGAGAATAAGTGGAAGGCAGAGGTGGTGCTGAGGCAGGAGAGCCCCGTGCTGGGGAAGAGGCTGAGCTGGGAGTGCCCAGCAGGGAGAAGGTGCTGTGTCCATGGCCTGTGTGCCAGGTGAGCTGGGGCTTTGCTGCAGAGCTGCGGGCGCTGATTGGAGCGGCTGCAGCTGCTGAGCTGGTGGCACCCAGGAACACAAAGTGTGCACGGCCACGGAGCCTGCAGGGAGGAGCAGGGACAGGCTCGGGTCCCGTTGGCTCCATTGTCAGCCCGGGGCTGGTGGGGGGGACAGAGCAGTTTTGGGCCCCCCTGGGAGCTGCCGAGGGTGGAGGGCGGAGCGGGCAATGCCGGAACTGGGGGACCCCCGGCAGGCTGGAGGGGGGAGCATGGAGAGGAAGGAACCCCAGGACCCCCAGGATCCTGAAATGGGGGACGTGGAGAAGGAGAAGCCCAGAGAGTGGGGACCCCTGGGATCCTCAGGACAACAAGGTGGAGAGAGATACTGGAGAGGGGGAATGTCTGGGAAGGTGGCACCCCAAAGGTGTCAGAGGAGAAGGGACCCTTGGGACCCCCAACACTCCCAGCATCCTTAAGTGGGACCCCCAGCATCCCAGACAGGGAACATCATCCAAACCCTAGAGGGGAGAGACCAGAGAGGGGGAACTTCTGGGAGAGATTTTTTTGGAGTACTTTCTAGCTGAATCTCAAATTTTTGCAGTTTGAGGGGACAGGGGCCTTCTTGCTGTTTCTGAGGGGATTTTTGCCTGAATCTGGGTGGTTTGGGTTTTTCTGGGCTGAGTCTTTTTGGTTTGGAGGTTTTTATGGACCTTGGATCCCCAGCGAGTTCTAGAGATGGACTTGGGCAGGAGGAACCCCCAAGCCAACGCGCTTGTTTCTCCCCCTGCAGGATTTGTCCTTCCCAAAGCTTGGGCGGATGGAGGAGGAGGCTGGGAGGAAGGGGAAGATGCCGCGGGCCCCCCAGATAGGTGAGGAGGAATTCAGTGCCCCTTTGGCCCTGTCTTGTGGTGCCTGTGGCAGCCAAACATCACCCCCGGCTGCAGGACAAGCCCACTGGTGCCACCGTCCTGTGTGGCCAGACTGGGGGATGTCCTTGGCCTTCCCTCTGGGCCGGAGGCAAATCCCCTGCCTGTCCTTCTTCCTTCCTGCCCCAGGCCCCAAGCTGAGGACAGAGAGCACAGAGGACAAATCCCCCCGGCAGAGCCTGGTGGGAGAGGCCGTTTTGAAGGGCTCCCCAGTGCGGGAAGGCAGCGGGGAGGAAAAGGCCCGGAGATGCCCCCGGAGGAGGGGGAAAAGAGCCATGCTGTGCCAGGAAGGTGGCCAGAGCTTGAGCCGGAGCTCCGAGCTGGTGGTCCCTGAGCAGCCTCCCAGCAGGGAGAAGCCCTTCAGGTGCTTGGAATGTGGGAAGAGCTTCAGCCAGAGCTCCAACCTTTTCAACCACCAGCGCATCCACACTGGGGAACGGCCCTACACATGTAGGGAATGTGGGAAGAGCTTCAGCCAGAGCTCCATCCTCCTCAATCACCAGCACATCCACACTGGGGAACGGCCCTACACATGTAAGGAATGTGGGAAGAGCTTTAGGAACAACTCCAACTTGATCCAACACCAGCGCATCCACACCGGGGAACGGCCCTACACGTGTTGGCAGTGTGGGAAGAGCTTCAGGCAGATCTCCAACCTCATCAAGCACCAGCGCATCCACACTGGAGAACGACCCTACAAGGGCTTGAAATGTGGGAAGAGGTTTCAGACCAGCCCAGATCTTCTCAGGCATGAGCAGACACACACAGGGGAGAGGCCCTTCCACTGCACCGACTGTGGGAAGGGCTTCAATCGGAAGTCCCACCTTGTCACCCACAGGCGCATCCACACCGGGGAGAGGCCCTACAAGTGTGGGGAGTGTGGGAAGAGCTTCACCCAGAGCTCTGGCTTGACCTCACATCAACGGACCCACTGGTAAGAGAAGCCCCACGAGTGCCCCGACTGCAGGGAGAGCTTCGGCCGCTGCTCCCACCCCGAATGACCCCCCTGATGGTGAGGCAACCCCTGGAGTCCAGCGACTGTCAGTCCATCCCTTTCTATCAGAGAGGGCCAGTCCCCTTTCCCAGGGGCAGGTTGTGCCAACAGAACCCTTCTTGGGGGGTGTGTGGAGATTCCTGCCTTGGCTGGAACCCCCCAAGGTCACTGCTGGAGGTTGAGAGCAGAGATCTCCCCACGAGCATTGGTTTGGGGGAGTTCCATCCATCTCTAATGAATAATTATTGCTTTTTTTCCAGCTTTAGTAGAATTGCTTCAACAATTGCTTTAGGGTAGAGCACTGTCCTATCTTATCCTGCACTACTGGTAGTTTTAGTGTTTCCATTGTGCAGTAAATAATTCTGATGAAGATCTTTTGTTTGACCATTTGTAATCCTAAATAATTCATTTCTATCAATAGATCTGACTTGCCATTATTAAAACCTGGGGGACAAAAGTGGTTCAGTCCCACCTCTGTAATTCCTCTAAACTGAAACTGTTGGCATAACCCAAGGCTGAGATTGGATCCAGCAGCCGCAGCACCCTACTGCCCTTTCCCAACCCTCCTGTGCCAAAAGACCCCCATGGGACCATTTCACCCACCAGACTACCCTGCCTTTTCCACCCTTCTCCCTGTTCCTTCCACTTTTCCATGGTCCCCTCAATCCACAGCCCCTCCCAGATCAATTTTGGGGTCCAAATCCCCTCTTTTTTCCCCCCTCTCCCACGCCTTCCACAACATCTGCCCAATCCCCACCCCCTTCATGCTCAGTTTGGGGGTCCCCCTCACCTTTTCCCCCTCTTTTGACTTCATCCACCCCTTTCCCATTATCCCTCAAACTTCAGAGCCCCTAACCCTCCACTTTTGGGGGGTCCCACACATCCCACTCAGTTTGGGGTCCCACCCCCCTTTTATCCCCTCTAACCTCCTTTTCCCACCGACCTCCCTTCCCCACCCCCTGCTCACCCGAGAGCTCCTCACCCGCAGCTGGGGGGGCTCCCAGCACCACCAGTGCCCAGAGAAGCCCCCGCCCCCCCAAAAAGGGGTTGGGTGGGGTCCTGGGTGGGCTTTGAGTGGGTTTGGGGTTCCTTGAGGGGCTTTGGGGAGGTTTTGTGATGTCCCAGCACCTTTTGGGGTGAGCTGGGCCGGTTCTGCCCCACCCCAAACTCAGCTCCAGCCCATGGGGACCTTTCAAGCCCCTCCTCCTCTGCCTCCCAATAACCGGGACTGGGGAGAACTGGGAAGCTTTGCTGGGATCACTGGGAGCAGCCAGGTGGAGGCAGAGTGACAGCAGGGGAGGGGGGACACACGACCCCCCCAAATCCTCACGGACATGGCGGGGGGGGGTCCAGGCTGTGCCCGAGGCCCCGGGGAGGGGCTGCAGCTGCTGCCGGCTCAGGAGCTCTGTGGGGAGAGAAAAGGGGGTGACAGCGGGGTGGGGGGACAGGGGGGACACCGGGATACACCCAGAGCTGGACTGGACCCAGTGGGACCAGAACTGGGGCAACTGGGATCATACTGGGAGCAGCTGAGCCCCTACTGGGGTCATACTGGGAGTGACTGCAATAATGGGAGTGTGTGAGAGGGACTGCAGCCATACTGGGGATGAGTGGGATCAAATTGGCTTCCTACTGGAAGTGTCTGGAAGTTCCTGAGATCAAACTGGGGGTGACTGCAAATCCTACTGGGATCATACTGGGATCAGACTAGTATCATACTGGTTCTATGCTAGGGGCAACTGGGAGCTCTTAGGATCCCACTGGGAGGAACTGGGAGCAACTGGGACCATGCTGGGCACAACTGGGATCATATTGGGAGCAACTGGGCCCACAGTGAAGGTGGCTGAGGTCATACTGGGAGTGACTGGGAGCATTCTGAGGGCAGCTGGGACCATGTTGGTGCAACTGGCATATACTGGGAGCAAGTGGGATCACGGTGGAGGTGACTGGGATCATACTGGGAGTGACTAGGATCACACTGGGGGTGACTCGGAGTGGCTGTGAGCAACTGGAGTCATGCTGGAAATTACTGGGAGCAACTGGGAGTGAGTGGGGCCACACTGGGGGCAACTGGGATATACTGGGAGAGACCAGCAGTGACTGGGATCATACTGGGACTGACTGGGAGCATACTGGGAGTAATTTGGAACAGGCTGAGGTTGACTGGGATATACTGGGAAAGACTGGAAGTGACTGTGTTCTACTGGGAAGGACTGGAACTAAGTGGGGTGAGTGGGAGCAAGTGGGACCATGCAGGGGGTAACTTGGATCCTACTAGGAGAGACTGGAGTCATACTGAGACTGACTGGGAGAATGCTGGAGGCAACTGGACTATAGTGGGAGTGGCTGGGAGTAACTGGGATCATTCTGGGAGCAGCTGGGCCCCTACTGGGCTCCTGCTGGGGTTGTGCTGGGAGTGACTGCAATAATACTGGGAGTGTGAGAGGGATTGAAGCCATGCTGGGGCTGAATGGGATCAAACTGGATTCATACTGGAAGTGTCTGGAAGTTCCTGGGATCATACTGGGGATGACTGGACTCATACTGGGGTCATACTGGGAGAAAATGGGACCATGCAGGGAGCAAATGGCACCGATCAGGCAGGGACTGAAAGTGCCTGGGGCCATACTGGAGTCAGACTGGGAGTCCCTGAGAGGGAAAGGAACCATCCTGGTGGGGCTGGGAGCAACTGGGACAACCTTGGGCACAACTGGGATCCTATTGGGAGTGACTGGAATCATAGTGGTAGTGACCAGGTACAGGATTAAAGGGTGGGCTCAGTTCCGCGCACACTGTGTCTCACCTAAAAAATCCAATGCGCAGGCTGGAAGGTGGAAAGACCTTCCCCGGTTCTTCGTTCGCGAAGAGACTGGCCATTCATTCAGTGGTAAGGGACCAGGATCAAACTGGGAGTGACTGGAACTACTCAGGGGAGAAGTGGGAGCCAGTGGGGCCATGCTGGAAGCCAACTGGGAGCATACTTGAAGCAACTGGGATCATGCTGGAAGCAACTGAGAGTAACTGGGAGTGACAGGGTGCATGCTGGAGCCAACTGGCATAAACTGGAAGTGACTGGGAGTGACTGGGATCACACTGCTGGGAACTGGGACCATCCTGGGGCAAGTGGGAGTCACTGGGTGTCGTGGGTTTCTGTGGGTGGGTTTTGGTAGCGAGGGGGCTCCAGGGGTGGCTTCTGTTGGAAGCTGCCAGAAGCTTCCCCTGCCCCGTGGAGCCAATGCCAGCTGCTTCAGGACGGACTTGCTACCACTGGCCAAGGCCGAGCCCATCAGGAGCAACAGGAACAGCTCTGGGATAACAGATTTAGGGACAGAAGGAATTGCAGCCAGGGAAGAGCGGAGTGGGAACGTGGGAACAGCAATGCAGACCCCAAGGGAGGTGCAGAAGGAGGGGCAGGAGGTGCTCCAGGCCCTGCAGCCCCTGGGGGAGCATCGGGGTGCAGAGACCCCCCTGCAGCCCCTGGGGGAGCATCGGGGTGCAGAGACCCCCCTGCAGCCCCTGGAGGCTCCCACGCTGGAGCAGGGGGATGCAGGAAGGAGGCTGTGACCCCGGGGCAGGCCCAGCATGGAGCAGGTCCTGGCAGGGACCTGCAGCCCGTGCAGAGGGAAGCCCAGGCTGGAGCAGGTTTTTCCCAGCAGGACTCGTGGCCCCTGTGGGGGACCCACGCCGGGTCAGCTCATCCCTGAAGGACTGACCCCATGGAGGAGGGAGCCACGGGACAGCAGGGTGGGAAGAGCTGCTGCCTGAGGGATGGACTCACTGCAGAGGTCCATCCAGGAC